TTCCCTACTTTATCCAAAACGAATGGAAAAAGTCTTAGCTTGAGATTTACCTTAAATGTGTGAAAAAAGTATTCAGCGAAAGAAAATGACATGAATTGCAGAGTTCTAGGGTCTCAGCTTGCTCATGTATTATATCTATTGTATGGATATAATCTACAAAATGTTAAAGACTCTTATTCTATACATACATGTAACAATAGGACTGATGTGGCTCTTTAAATTAAACAAGCGATTCAATCACTTTTTTTTTTTAACCAAAGAAGGTTGATTGGTCTTATAATGCAATCCAGTCCCACAAACATATATTTCTCTTTGTTCCATCGAACTGACATTTTCAGGCAAAAGATGGGTTAAAATGACAGAATCTATGATGTATGGTCAGTTATGGCCCTATAATAGTAAAAAAAAAAACTCTGAGGGCCCAATCACACTTAGGCATTCCAATACACGTTAACACGTGTTGCATTAACCCCTTTTTTTTTTCGGTGCGTGTTCGTGCAACAGCATTTTCCATCTTTCTCATTTATGGCACCAACGCATATTATATCCCATTGTTTAAAGGACAAAAAAGGGGCTTTAATTTGATGTGACATATTCATATATACGTTCTTGTGTAGTGCATGAGGGAAGCTTAAACCCCTAAGGACCCATGCCAGAATTATTCTGTCATGGGTCCTTATGGCACGGACAGCCATGATGGAATAATTCCGCCATTGGTCCTTAAGGGGTTAAGACAGCCCATTCATTATTCATCCAACACATCAGATGGGGAAAAAAAACCCCTGCATGATGTTTGACAATGCAGCACACCGCAATGCTTTGTATATGTACGGCAGTGTGCTGCCATGCATTGTGCATTACTGTACAATGCATTGGGGTTAATTTACAATGAATAGCACGCCAATCCACTGCACATAGAGCAGGTGCATAGCCATGCATTGTGCCATCGGGGGCATTTTAGCATGCATTGCTGCAACACACAGGTGTGAATGGGCCTTCAAAGCTGGGCCATGACAGCTAGTCTATACTACTGAACCATGTCCAAATGAAGCACTAACTACTTCACACACAAAGGGTGCTGATAAAGGTACATTTTTCACAACATAAATATTTGTTTCAGTTAATAATTGAATCATCTGTGCATGTTGTAAAGCTTCCCGACAGGCCTGGTTGGCCTAACTGAAGTAAAGGGGATTCTCTGTGTTTCTTTAGCAGCCAACCAGACTTCAGCTGTCGTGTTTCTAGGTAGCAGTCTGACTAGTTGCTACTATGAACACCACCAGTCCTCCCTTGCTCTAGTTTATATACAGGATGCCTTTAGAACATACACTGATGCATAGAAGCAAGGTGATCTGAAAGATTTACTAGTTCACATTATACTAAAGTAACAAAAAATATAACAGCCAGGTGGGTGAATACGGGTTAAAACATTCACATTTCATCAGTTGGCTGTAACATTTTGGATGGGAGTCTCAGACTGTCCAATGTTACAGCTTCCTATGCCACACTCCTTTAGAAGGAATCGAACAATCTTGGCACTCAGCATACACACAGCGCTATGTGTCCCAAAGTGCAAATTCATGCTATGTACAGTGTAAGTGGCTAGCGTATTAGTTGGCAGACATCTTGTTCGTTACTAGGCCCTGACTAGTTGGCCAAGAGCTAAGTTCTCTCTAGAAACAGTGAAGTCATCTACTGCAACCTCTTGCAATGTTCCCTTTTAACAGCAGTTGAAATGGTGCCCGATAGTACTTTTCTCCTTTTTATTGGTTAGCGACAGGTTATCTCAGACAACAAGCTACAGAGGGAAGCAATAACACATCAGGAAAGAGTGATGTTTTAGCTGGAAATATGGTCAGGAAAAAACAGCTGGCAGCAAACCACAATACCCAACGCTTGTAAAGATATATACATTTAGGACCAACTTCAAAAAAGTCTCATCTGACACATTTCACCCAACACTGGGCTTAATCGTAGAGAACTCTTCCCTACAATTAAGCCCAGTGTTGGGTGAAATGCGCCAGTGGAGATATCAGACGTGGCTTCTTGCAGTTGGTCCTGTAATCATAAATCTTTACATGTCTTGGGAGTTATGATGTGCTGCCGGCTGTTTGTTCTCTGGATGTGTTGACAATTTGGGGTGAGGATGAGCCCCTTCTAGGTATCTGCGCTTGGTCAGCCGATGTAGTAATCCACCATTTAGGACTACAAGTGATGGAAAACCTTTGCTATAGTCAGAGAGCCCCATTATATGTGTAGCATCTTCACAGCCGGATTAGTAATGGTGACACGGGGCACCGTGTGGTTACATTCTGCCTTGACAGTGCCACCCACCTCCCAAATCTACCAGTGGAAGAACCCCTACACGCCACAAAAACCTCAGCTTCCAGGTATGGGAAACACATCCTCTTCCTGCCTACCACAATACATTGCGGGTGGCTTGTTGCTAGGCTCATGCACGGTCATGTGAAAGAAGCCCCTAAACGTAAATAGGGACTCTCATAAAGTCAGTATTTGGAGTGGGGGGTTTTAGCCGCACACTGAAATGCTCCCCCATAGATAGCTCGAATTTTGGTAAATTCCTGCTGAATCACAGGAGCGACTTGTATGGTGGCCTTAAATGAAGGTTGTAGCACTGATGATGTGCTCTCTTCATATTTTAGAGCCTGCTGTATGCTACACTAGCTATATTATTGCTGTACTGTATACTAAGAAGTTGTTACTGGGGCTTAATGCAGTATTGATGCAATTTACCAACAGTGAAAAGTGTATCCTATTCAGACAGGAAGGCTTTGACGTCATGGTGAATTCTGGGTATTTTTTCCATCCTCTTGATTAGATATTTTGGGAATTTGGAATGTGATATAAAAAGGTAATATTTTTCTGCAATACGCTATTCCGCTTCCATGTTCCCCACATTCAAATTGTTCCAATTGAAGATACAGAGATAACATTTTAAGTGCAATCTACTTTTTTGCCTCTTAAAGTGTTCCGTTTACCACGCACAGCAGAGTCAGCCATTGTGCAGGCTGAAGACGTACTCTTGAAATGGCAGCCAATCCCAAGGAACCAGTGACAACACTGAGGCATGAAATCACTTGTGTCACCAGTTTCTTAGCTCGGACTACTCCAGCCCACAACATGGCTGTGGAAAGTACTAGGGACACTTTAAGGTTTGTGCAAGACATTTCATAATGCTTCCAAATATTTACCGTGGTGCAGGGTGTGACAGCGGCTCATTGTTAAAGCAAAAGTCATGAAGCTTCATTTGAAAGATTTGGGGAACGTAACGGTAAAATGCCAATTACATTTATCTCCCTGGCTGCATTAAAGACCTAGTAAGGCCCAGAGAACCTGAATTTTCGATGTGCCCTATGAAGCTTTTCAATGCAGCAAGTGCTGGTGGAGCGCAGGACGCCAACGTAGACAGGACAAGTCCGAAACTAGTTTTTTTAGAGGCAGCTCTAAGTCAACTGGGGTGTTCCAAAGGGTCCATGGAGCAGTCTATAGAGCACTGGAAGGATTAGAGCGCCACAAAGCTCAAGTCCAGTATGCAACAGAAGATGAGAAACGCCATCACATTTCAGGAGCTCAAAATTCTCCCTTCATCAGGATTTGTGGGCAGATAAGAGTTCAAATTTATACTGGACGATTGCAAAACAAAACTGGATATCCCCAAAATGATCCGGGTCAGATCATTTTAATGATATCCAGTTTTGTTTTGCAATTGCTGTCTGGTATAAATCTGAACTTCCGGCCAGCATACAATCCCTGATGAAGGGGGAGTTTTGAGCTCCTGAAACGTGATGGCTTTTCTGATCTGGGCCATGATAAAATGATTACTGAACTTACTCAACCTTTTGTGGCACTCTCATCCTTCCAATGCTTTATAGACTGCTCCAGGGCCCCTTTAAAATACCCCAGTTGACGTAGAGCTGCTCTAAAAATTAATTTCGGTCTTCTGCTTCCCGTCTACTCTGCAGTCCTGTGCTCCACTAACACACTATACACTAACATGCCTATGTTGAAAAGCTTGAGCGTCTAGAAAATTCAGGTTCTTGGGGCCTCTATGCACTTCTGGTCCCTGAGTAGTTGGGGAGCCCATATAGATGTCTATGGGAAGAGCTACTACAATTAGCATATTGCCGAGTGGTGCTCAGGGACAGCATCTAAGCCAAATTTTAAGCTTCTGAAAGCAGCCATGGAGGCCAGTCAATTACCACTTTCTCTTACCCCAGCTTGTGTAGACTGGCGCAACATCGCAGTATGGAGGGGCATAAAGGCCAAGCCATCATCTCTAGATGCCCCTTAGATGACACAGCCCAAGAAGCAATAGGCTTTAACGCCAGATCTAAGCTTCTTTCTTTGCAGGCCCAAGTCTTGTCACATGATGCCACTAGCCGTGGTGGCAGAGTAACACATTGAGGGCTGGGAAGAGGCCAATTCCAGGCCTTGATTGAAATAAATATTTTGCCGGTTCAGCCAGTTCGCTTATTAAAATTTATACATTTCAAAATGTTTCTTATTTAAATTATTTTAAGTAGAAGTCCTGAAAGTCGAGCTCGGTGCACCCCCACACCTCAGTAAATAAACGTACATCCTTTTATACAATAATAAGGCACTAAATTCACGCCTCCTCAAATGCAGTTTTGCAAACAATGCGTTTCACAGCCTTTCCTGCGTTCATACACTAACGATTAAAATAGACTCTTTAGAAGATATAGGTATATATTTATATCTAGCTTTTATATATTTACATATTTATATATATATAAATTTTTTTTTATGAAAACTCTTATGTACAATGTACAAAATATATATATTTTTTCTGTCTCTACTTACAAGTCTTTTTGCATTTTTGTGCCGTCAATGCAGTTAGACGTTTTGAGCTACCAACACTTAGAAGTTTATAAAGTACTTTTAGCCCAGCGATGCGTTGATGGGGTTCCTCCTTTGCCCCAAAGAAACTTTTGATTCGTACCTCATATTTGTTTCCTTTTTTACCCCTCCATTAGCAAGTTAAGGGGTTTGAGGTAGACGGATCTTTACTGGTTCAGTGCAAAATGTGAAGTCCTTTTATTTGCTCCTTTGCACACAGCAGTCATATCGAATCGTCTGATCCGCTGTGCGGATTGTGCTGGGCAGTCACTGCGTGTCCATTAGAGAGCGGCGTCACTTTGGATGCCCCTTCGTGGTGGGGAGGGTCCGCTAAGTGTGACTTTTGCTGTAGAAAACAGTCCTGTATTGGAGGCTGGTGGTAGGGCTCTGAAGAGGGTGACCTGAATAATGGCTCCAGGTGCGAACCTGTAAAGACAGTAAAGGAGTTCAGGTTAAAGCTGAAGTTTATTCTGCGTATATTTTGCGTTTCATGGACCCTCCTCCCCATCAACATGTTAATTACATTATTAAATATAACATTTATGTTTTAATAAGGTGCCTTATATACAGGGCAACCATCAGAAATTTTGGGGCCCCTTACAGCCACCCCTTAGGCCACCCCCCCGCTGCTGGACGTAGGGCACATTGACGTGCTGGACGCAGGGCTTAGTGACGTGCTGGACGCAGGACCCACCTGAGAGTGAGCCTGCAGAGCCCACCATATATGCTGCACAGCCCATCTGAGACTGTCTATGGTGGGCTCTGAAGGGGTCTCAGGTGGGCTGGTCAGGGCTGCATCCCTCCCCTCCCTCCTTTCCTAGCTCCTCTTATCTGCACACATAGGTAATCTGTGGTCCTCCAGCTGTGGTGAAAAAAACCCCATCATGCATCTGCCTCTGGAAGTCATGGCTGTGGCTGGCAGAGTCCTACAATGCCTTATGGAACTTGTAGTTCCTCAGCAGCTGGAGGGATGAAGTTTGGTTACCCCTGCAATAGCTTGTCACTTGATTGACAGCCCTGAGTCTGCTGACATCACATCCAAGATGGTGGTACCCAGAAGCTGTCTCAGGGCATTTAGATGTCTACACAAGGGATTTTACAGGTAAATAACATGCATGAAATATGTTAAATGCATGTATTTATCTTATAGGAACAATGTTAAAATAAATGGTCTGGTGACAGGGTCTCTTCAAGCGTCTCGTAGATAGGGAAGAAGCCTTGCAGTTACCTTGTGTATCAGACACCAACACATGCGTCTGCTGTTCGCTTAAGAAAGGAATCCTCTCATGGTTGCTGGGGTACAAAATTTCACAGGCATCCATCTTGTTGTAGCTTACAGTCCCCAGGTTCTGATGATAGTTTGGCGTTCTAGAATGGTCGATGCCATTTCTGTAGCCGTCATGGCCGCTCCTCGGTCTTTCATATGAGCAGTCCAGAGGTGGTAATGTCTGTGGACAATAGTTGGGGTCCCTGCTGTACAAAGCACGACCTTCCAGGCAGTCCGTACACACGACCTGGTATCCATAGCCTGTAGTGACAGCAAAATGGGACTGTTAAAGGGCTAGTCATAGATGCTGAGACAGAGAAGCAAAATATTTTAACCTTTTTATAACCTCCAACCCGGCAACACGTGCATACCTTTCCTTCGCTCAACAGCCGCTCTGTTTAGCTGCCGGCAGCGTCACTCTAGTCTAGTTGAAGCTTATTTCCCCGCCCCCATGTGACACCAAGACATGGGGTGCAAATAAAGTATTTGATACTTTTGATTATAAAAAGGAGCATGTGACTTGTTCCTCTTCCTTTAATTGAACAACGCTCTCGCATGGAGGCGGGGAGACAGTATCCTGCCCCAGTGTAAGCTCCGACTAGAGAGACTTGGAGCTTACACAGGACTTACTTTCTTCTCTCCCAGCAAGAAAAGAGAAACGTGTTGCTGGGGAAGGGGGCATGCTTCAGGTTGACTTTCCATAGATCATATTCATGCTGTGTTAGTCCAGGATGTTGGTTACCTGGGCTTTCTGTGCCAAACAATCCACTGGCTCTTTTACAAGGTTCTTCGGAGTTGCATCCTACACAGGGCCGGGGTTGTCTGTGGCCGATATTACCGGCCTCCACGTCAGTATTCACTGTGCCGTCGCTGGAACAGATACCTGAAACGATAGACCGGTCCGTCATATATAATAACCCCGCACTAGCAAAGTAGCAGCTGGAATTTCATTGGTGCACTTTTAGACCTAAAATGAATCTTGAAAGCTTTCAATAAAATGTATGAGCTTCGGTTCCTTTAGTCTATTAGGAGACAAGGAGATGTCACTATATTAGGAGGTACTTATTTAGCGTTGTCTATTTACACAGCGCTTTACATACTGTACATTCACATCAGCCCCTGTCCTCAAGGAACAATCTAAACATAGCGCAGTGTTTTGGGGTAACTTAGGATTGAGGGTGATTGTATCACTATGACGCTTGATGCTTAACAGTTTATTAGGATTTTAGGTAGGGATAAGAGCGCAGATTGTTTGGGAAATAAATCTATAAGGTCCCTAAGATCCTCACATAATAGGGCCAATTTACACAGCAGCTAGTTAACCAACCAGCATGTCTTTGGAGAGCAAGAAGAAACTGGAGTACCCAGAGGAAACCTACACAAGCGCGGGGAGAACATGCAAACTCCATGCACATAGCGTCCTGGCCAGGATTCAAACTGAGCACTCTAATACTACAAGGCAGAAGTGCTAACCACCAAGCCCTAGTTTACAAGACTCATCATCAGAACACTCGTTAGTCAGCAGGCATCTAATTAATCTTATGGATCATTGTATTTATCATACCTTGAGAGGACAGATAACTTGGCACATCTGGAGGAACAATGGTTTCATCTGTAAAACAGAAAGAAATTATGTTAAAAATATTTGATCTGCAAACTTAAACCAATCCACTAACTTTTTTTTTTTAATACATTTTATTAAGGGTTTTGCTCTTTACGTGCAAATAAAAAAAACAACAACAAACCCCCCCCCCCAAAAAAAAACAAAACAGTTCCAAACCATGAAACAGTAACATAAGGGCACACAAAAAATAATGAATGAACAAGAGCAATAAAGGTAAACAGTGCCCAGCCGGTTGTCCCGAGCATCTAGTTAATAGATGGGCGTGGAAACACCATGTGACGTGCAATCCAATATTCCCAGCCAATTGAGCCTTCAAATACCAGGAGGTGTATTGAAAAGGAGACATTATTTGGGACAGTTCGGACCTATCAAAGGTGGCAGCAGCGAAGTATCGCCAGCGCCTAAAAAAAATGTTTCGTTCTCAAATCCTTATGAAGTCCGGCATCTAGCCGCTCCCTATTGAATAACAATTTGAGTTCTCTCACAACCTCCGATACCGCGGGGGCCGAAGATGCATTCCAAGAACGCATAATGCACCTTCTAGCAGGCATATATGCATCCCAATCCACTAACTTAACTCCACTTTTTGTTATCTTGGTTATACATTCATCTGACAATTTAACATATTTTCAAGGACTTCGAGGGGATAGAATGCCAGAAATCCATTCTTAAACAGATTCCCTTTAATCCGGGATTGGGAGCACTATAAGTCAAACAGGCTGTGTTGTATAGCACTAGGCTGTTCTCCTAACATGTTTCCGGAACAAATTGCTAGAGCACGGCAAGAGGACCTTACAAATTTAGTGTGCACATTCACAGTCCATGAGGAGGATGTGAGGTGACGTTAGGAAACTGCTAAAGCTCTGAACACTTGTGTCAACCTCTGGCTGCATGGTGCATCAGGGATCTGTGAATGACTCATGAATATACAGTATCCTGGTTGCTTGCCCTTGAGCCAGTCTCGAATGATCTTAAAGTTACCTGTATTGGTGACACTGTATTCCTCGCTCTTCTTTCGGGTTTGGTAGATGATGCAGACCCACACGAGAGACGTTAAAACGATGCTACACACCACAGCGATGGTGATAATCCCGAACGTCATGGTCCCCTCCATTTTACTCGACTCCAACAGGCAGACCGAAGTAGGGAAGATACTGACATGGCTGTAAGCGCGTTCTGTCCCGAGCGTGTTGGACATCTCGCAGGTATATTTTCCAGCGTCCTCCTGTACCACATTGCGTATGATGAGCAGCTGGTTACCCGGTGTGAAGTGGTGCCTTTCTGTTACAACAATGGGCTCGTCTCCTTTCAGCCACGTGATGCGCGGTGGGGGGCTGCCGTTGGCTTTGCATTGTAACGCCAATGTGGCCCCTGCAGAAACTGTGCGGTCTTCTAGCGGATAAGCCAGAAATGGCATTTCTGGGGGGGGGGAAAGTGAGGGGAGTTTTAGCGAATACAATCTTGTTTCCAAACAACGAAAAACAATATAAAACCAGAATTATGTAATATATGTTGTTATGAATTCCACTCAAGGAGCCTATTTGGTAATGTTATCTCTAACCCGGAGGCCATTCTACTCCCTCACCATGATGTACTGTAATGCTATTAACAACAGAAGACTAGTAATGGAGATTAATTGCTGATGTTCTTAGCAACATTGACATTGGTGAGTGAGCAGTAACTGTGCTCTCTATTCCAGTAATGAAGGCAGCTGATCTTTGACAACCTGCCCACCAACATGCAGGGCAATTTAAGAAGATTGGGAGGATATGGGACTCTTCATTATGAAGCAAAAGCCAACTTTCCTCAAAGAACCATGATCCTCAAAATTCATTGGCCTCTATCTAACTGAGCAATCTGTAGGGCAGTAACCAAAGGGAGTCAATCAGAGACTTTCTCTTTCTCTCTCAGCTGAAATTTGATTGGTTCACTCTGACATCTACAAAACCATACTGTTATTTTTTTATTTCGATATGACAAATGCCAAAACTTTTTTCCCAGAATGTCAGCCTTTGAAACCTTCAGGAAACATACCGAGTATACTCAGGGTTGCATTCGCAGAAACTGATCCAGCGGAATTTTGTGCCGTACAGCTGTACACGCCCATATCCTCGATTTTGACATCTGTAATGAAGAAGACGTCATCTTCGGGCATGACATGCATGCGACGCTCCCGAGCGGCAGGGAAATCCGTGCCGCCGTCTTTCTGCCAGGCGATCTCCGGGGTGGGGTGGCCGTCTGCTGCGCATTCCAACCTGGCAGTCGTACCTGTCCGTATGGTGTTGTCTCTTGGGGTTTTGATAAATGACGGCAGAACTAAGATTAAAAGAAAAAAGAAATGTGAGTGTCTTGTGTGCAGATATTGAGGACAAGAAGAGCTGAAGAATAAACAGGAAATGTACAGTTTACTGTCCCTACAATCACACACATCAATTACTGTACCCGATGCAGCCAATCATCCTTCTCTATTTTTATTCCGATAATTTAACAGTGAAAATTAAGATTCATTAGCTCACTATCGTATTAAATAACAAGTATTCTGTAAACTGAAATAGTACTCACCTAGCAGTGTGCATTGGAAAAAGTACCTATAACCTTCAGGCAGAACTCATGTTCGCCATCTCTGTCCCTTAGGCTAGGTTCACACTAGGGCAATTGTGCATGAAACCGCAATGTCACGGAATCGCGCACCACCGCTGATCGTGCTGGCGATGCCATTATTTTCTAATGGTACTCCAGTCGCGCCAGGCAGATACCACCTGTGCAATCGCGCATGATCGCGGTTCAAAAACCCGGGCGGTGCGTGTCGCAAAAAGAGGTACCTTTTTTCAGCGATTGCTGCGCATGTATAATTCCACTGAATCAATGGGGCCGTGCGGCAATCGTTGTGTGCAATCGCGCACGATACCGGAATTGCCGATATCTGTACCTAGCCTTAAAGGGAAAGTGACTTCCTGTAACAGATGGGTGACAAGAAAAAAGTGTAAATTCTCAAAAGTGAGGGACAGTGTCCCCACTGAAATATTTCTTCTCACCTCCTGTTCTGAGGACAACATTAAACTTTGGAAATCCATCACTTTCTGTCTTAGCGACAATGGTCACCAGGAAAAATTGTGAGAGTAAATTGCCTTAGCAGGGGGTACAGACAGCCATAGAGACCTGGGTAAAAAAAAAAAAAGGCAACACTCCAATGTGATCCAGCATCTCAGAATAACTTTATTGATCCAGACAGAGCATACACCAACCCTGACTGGACCCTTCCACTCTAACGAGTTTTGTCCTCTTTAAGTGCTTCATCTACAATGAAACCAATTAAGTGGCTAAAATGCGTTAGAGTGGGAGGATCTAGTCTGGGCTTGTGTATGGGTTGTCTGGGGTCAATGAAGGTAATGTGCTGGAGTACATGGAGGACAGCCTTCTTCATATTTAACTCTGAGTAAGAGGAGTGAGGTGAAATCCAAAGAGGCATCGCCACCTAGGCTTAGGAATACACTGGGTCATGGCTTAGAACGGAATCTTTTTTTTTTTAACTGAATATCAATAGAAACCCGACAAGTCTTCTAACCCTTCTTAATGAACAGGTTCTACTTCAACATCACAGAAACATCCAGTTATTGGCTCACCATTCACAATCAGTCCGGCTTTATTAGAGTATGTGGAACCAAAGTGGTTGGTGATGATGCATTGATAATGCCCCTCATTCTCAAAGGTGACATTACGCAAATGCAAAATGGTGGTGTAGACCATCACATCTCCATCCTTCTCCCTGATGTTGGCGAAGTTCTCGGTCTCTGCATTGTGTAGGATTTCATTGTCTTTCTTCCACACAAACGTCATAGGCGAGCTGCTGCTGCTGGCGGCTGAACAGGAGAAGCGGATATCTTTTCCCAGCACCGCCATAGTCTTCTCTGGCTGCAGCATGATGTGCGGTTTAGGCAGATCATCTAAAAAACACAAAAAGGTAGTAGACCATCATTGTGTGACCATCCATGACCTGGTGTCGTGCATCAAATGAAGGCAGAAACAAGAAACCAGACTGCAGCTGTTATTTATTTTGTGTGCCTTAGAAAACTCATGACTGCTTCCTCAACACCACCTTGCAAGAAAAAAACCAAGGCCTTGTTCACACCAAGCACGTTCCAGGAGCAGAGCACAGCAGTTACAGACCGGAGCAAAACTGCGTCCAATGTAGTCCAATGGTATTTTGGGCTCTAGTTCACACCGCGTTCAGTTCCAGAGCATGTAAAAAAAACTGCAGCAGGCCCTATTTTACCTGCTCTGGAACGCATGCAAATGCATCAAAAACGCATGCAAACGCCCTGGAACGCACTAAAAGCCCATTCTAAACTAACAAAAATAAATAAATAAGGGCACAACCCACTGCACTGCGTGTGCAGAAACTCATGCAGATCTGGTCTGCATTTGGTGTGAACAAGGCCTAAAACTAAACAGTATAAAGTGTAATGTATAAAAATGCTATTGGCTCAAATCACAAAGCTCTAACAAGTGGATAGGTAGGTGACTGTAATTCTCAAATCTCATTGGACTCAGCAGAAAAAAAACGTCCTTTTTAAAAATAAGGATCGTTATCCTAGTGCTGTGTCAATTGAGGGTTATCTATGTTATGTTCTGGATTAGTCCACTGGACACTGCCGATTGCAGTGATTATTATGTCTCTATGCTGAGCTTATAACACAGCCTGCTGTTCCTGGTCTGCAACCAGTGACAATTAGCTTGTTGCCTCTATAAATTATGCAGGATGCAAGAGCGTGAAAAGAGGCAATTCAAATCTGCAAAAAAAAAAAAAAAACAACTCTGCTTGTCTTCAACATGGTGGCTGCCAATACATTCATTATCAGGATATTCACAGAGCATTTTTGTTGAAAGCAAAGTTTAAGCGTTTTGCCTTCAGACTCTCTCTCTCTGACAAATTGCAGTCCCATTTGAATAAAAGAGACAGGGAGAAGGGAGGAGTCACTTTTCTGGTTCATTCAGTTATGTGTGTACATTTCAGCATGCGCTATTGAGCTCTGTTAACAGGCTTTTTTTCCCCAACACAGCAGCTAAGAACAGGGAAATGTGAAAAAGACCCTACAGCTCCACTGTCTGGCTAGAAATATTTATGTGCAATGTTTTTTATAAACCGGACTAGAAATATTGTCAATTATAGTTAATATTTTAGTCCTGAACATAATAAAGAATACAAAACAATATACATTCCTATTAAGGTCTGCTCATTATGCATATGGATGCTTTAAAGAGGTTAAAGCTAAACTCTAGGCATAATTAACTTAAAACCGTTATACATTTCTTTACCTAAGCCTACATGACGGGGGTTGCGTTTTTTTTCTACATAAGGCAAATCTGCTCATTTACATGGCGGGATTCGTAACGCTCCCGATGTTCTTGTGGGCTGCTTGTATGTAAGTGCTGCAGGTCTCATAGACCCCAGCGCTATGCTTGTGTCCCCACCTCTCTCTACTCCAGTCCATTAACAAAACACACACCCTAGGCTTCATTTTATGAATGGCCAGGAGCAAAGGGAGGCTGCGATATGATTACATCCGGGCAGGGCAGAAATACAGCGAGCGATGTACAAAACCTGGCGTGTAAGCAGATTTGCCTAATGTAGAAGAAAGCTTGCATGAGGAGGTTGCTTTTGAGAAGAAAGAAGAAGAAACATATAATTGCTTTAACCCTGGTAAGTTTATTGTGGAGTCGGGGTTTAATGTAATTTCTGGTGTCAAAGCATTATTGTGAGATGCTAAATGACAGATGAAGGTCTCGCATTTAACATTACTACAACCTATGCTGGGTATTCTTCTTCTATAAACACAATGGGGTAACCAAACCTCACAGTTGGCTAAAAAATCAAAAGGTTTATGTAATCAGCCTCCTCTAGTATTCCTGACAATGGATCCCCTCCACATATGGCGAGTTTAGAGCACGAATGACGAATCTCTATTTCAGCAAGTTCCTCTCTCGGAATGTACAAATTAGTAAACAAAATAAGCAGCGCAAAACGTTCCAGTCCGCATACCTTTCTACAACAATAACAGATATAATGAAGGTTGATCTCTGTGTACCTTGTTTTAATTAAACCTTTTGTTTGTAGCCTCAATCTGTGGGGGATTAATTGTGTTTTCAGCTGTCCAGAGCTGCAAGCCAGCTGGACCTCAAAGGGGCAAAATTCTTGGATTTGGGTGTGAGCTGCAATCAGCACATGTGAGGCACACATGTGTCCTTTGGAGGGTTTGATGTCCTCTGTATATTTCCAGTCATGGCACAAGGGTGGGCTATTCTGGTTTGGTCAGATCTTTTCCTCTGATCTCCGCCACTTTGTTCAGTCTAAGGCCAACTTGCTAAAATTCTTCCCTAAAATTTAGGCAAGCTATTTTTTATAAAGTAGAGAGCTACTAATCTTTGAAAGCAACTTCAAAAGGATTTCAAATGGCAAAACACACTCATATCTACCCATTGCGATGGAAAACAATACACGATGCTAAGAACTGCACAGGATGCAATACAGAAAAACATAGACATTAAAGGAGAACTATGAGGCGAGAGAAAAATCGCTCAGCCTCATAGTTCTAGCCGACCTGTGACAATGAAACTGTCACAGGTCGGCTCAATAGATCGGGCAGTGAGCGAACTGTGGCCAACAAACAATATGATTAAAATACTTCCCAGAAGTTTTTATTATGAAACAAAAAAAGGGGGAGATAGCAAATAATAGGATAAAGACAATTGCAGTAAACCTTGTCACGCTGAGGATATACTGTCCAGGCTATGTTTCATTTAAGAAGGAAGTGAACATTGAATCAGCACAACGAGCACTGAAAATCCTGGGGGAAGAAAATTCCTTCACTCTGGCCAAGTCTGCTGCTCACCAAGCGGAGAAAGTTTAAGTCCAATAAGTGGGTTTTATTCTATCAGTCTTCTCAGAGAGACTAAACCTACTATTTGCATCTACACTGAACACATAACAGAACCCTGATGTCATTTCAGGAATAACATTCACCCATTTATGTAAAACAAAACCTTAAGAACCGGTTTGCACTAACGCGAACATTAGTGCTTTGCTGTAACACGTTTAATGCGTTAGTCTGGTGCAGTGCTATTACATAGTTACATAGTATTTGAGGTTGAATAAAGACATTAGTCCATCAAGTCCAACCTATTAGGATCTCATTCTAGGAGTACCTGTACCCCTGTATATTACCTGTACCCCTGTATATTACGGTCCCTTAAGAAATCGTCCAAAAGTTTCTTGAACAATTCCACATTATTTGCTGAAATCACTGTCTGTGGCAGTGAGTTCCAGACCCTAACTGATCTTACTGTGAAGAACCCCCTTCGCCCCTTGTGCTGGAATTTTTTTCCCACCAATTTTAGGTGGTGGCCTCTAGTTTTTGTAATGGAGTTAATTTTAAACAGTTTATCACTAATGTTGCTACCACCATTGAACATCTTGTACATGGAAATCATATCCCCCCTTAATCTCCTCACCTCTAATGTGAACATTCATTCTGAATGGCATCTGAACGTACCTTGTGATGAACATGCTTTGCAGCGCAACAACACACTGACATGAGTTGCTGTGCACTGCCAAAGAATGGTGCATGCACTAATTTAAGCAAACCGCATTAGTGTGTTGCACTGCAATGCACATTTGTAGGCATGGTGTACTGCAGTTCTATTTAAATTAAAGGCACCGCATCACACCAATGCATGTAATGTGCACTGTTACGTGTATTACTAAAACATCATAGTGCACTGACAGGCTATTTCAAAAGAAAAAACTAAAAAGTAACGTTATTGCCCACAGTGTCCAATCAGAGCCTTTGTTTCATTTTCTCGGGGGAAAAAAGATGAAAAATGATGATTGGCAACTATGAGCAAGAATTCAGCTTTGTTCCCACTTTTTTTTTCTCCGATTAAAGTAAACAAAATTTGGGGGTGGCCACTGCTGATCTCCTCCTAAAACTGCTAGCTGCCTAGCTTTTATTCTGACCTTTTGCCTTAAAGTGACACTAAGTTCAGGAGTTAAATCTTAAAAGGGCATTCAAGAACCTTAACTATTAACAGAAATGTATCTTATTTGTTTATCACTCGGCTGTAGATCCTCAAATCATCTCTGAATTGGTGCCGACACTGTCCTTCCTTCTGGAGGGGGGCTACTTTTGTTCCCCATGGTTCCTGTGTGTGTTGTAAAGTAGTCACCGCTCCAAGCTCACTCCTGTGATGGACTACAATTTCAATACAAATCAGTAAACTAAACGTGAAGTTGTAGTCCATCACAGGAGCGAGCTTGGAGCGGGGACTACTCTACATTACACACAGGGACCATGGGGAACAAAAGTAGCCACCCTCCAGAAGGAAGGACAGTGTCAGCACCAATTCAGAGAGGATTGAAGATCTACAGCCGGGTGATACACAAATAAGATACATTTTTGGTAAGATTTGTAAGACTTAACTCCTGAGTTTAGTGTCACTTTAAATACTCACTGACCCAAACAAGTATACAGATCGGAAGTGTCAGAGAAAAGGGTCTTTGAGTGTCTGAGTGCATAACTCAGCATGGACATAAGAGTCATTATGGCAGCCATGCAACTAGCATTTCTAAGAATGGTCAGAAAAGGCACCTTAGGTATGTTTATGACAGGTTTACTTTAATACACAGATCCGGAAAAAAAGAAAATAGGGCTTTGCATGTCACAGCTAAGTTGTACTGTATTAGGAACAAAAAACAGTTCTGCTCCCATGAGCCAACAGTTTTCCTCCCTGTGCATCAAGTGTCAATCATGATGATGGAATGCTGGATGTGGGCACAAACATCACAAGCCACACTGCAGCATCCACAAATCACCAGGTAGTCACAGTATCTTGTTTAGCACATCAGCTTATTTGCATAGTAGCCCTCCCAGAGTCAAACTTTCTAGCCTGTCATATCTGGAGATTGGCCAACTAGAAAATCAAGAAACAAAAGTTTTTGTTGACACCAGAGTCCTCCCTTACGAATTCTGCCAGCGTCCCCATTCGCGGACTCCTTGGGAGAAGCCGTAAAACCGGAGAGAATTTGTCAGGCGGCCTCTGTTCTCATTGTCGACACGAAATAAAAATGCACCCAAATCTGCCATATGTTCTGCAACTCCTTTTCCTGGCACGACGAGAGGCCAAAGTTGAAGCTGACTTATAATGAGAAGGAAGCAGCTGGGCTGCTCAAATGGACGGCCTTCTCATCTTACAAAGATGCTATTAAATTGCTTGCAGACCTCTCAAGCAGCTACTTTTGGCAGCCCGCTATAAAACCTGCAAAGCACGATGGGATACTCACAGGTGCTCCAGAGCCCCCAAGCCTGAGAAAGCGTTTCTGGCCACCGACTTGATCTTGTTTCCAAACAGAGAACTGCAGTTTCCAAACATCAAGGGTCAGACAAACAAAAGGGGGTAAAGAGGAAGAGGAAAGAAGCAAAAAAAGAAAGAAAGAAAAAAAAAAAAAAAAGGGCAGAATTAGTTGGTGTGAGACGGATTGAGTGTCCGCTTTACAACATTTTAAACGTGAGGAACACAGATTAGGTCTTTTCTCCCTTTCTCTGGCTGAAATGAGATCCCTTTATCTTTAAGGCAATTGAACGGTGATGACAAGACCAAATCGCCCCTAATCTCTCCAGTAAAGAAAGCAGCCATTGAGCGGGCTTGTTCAGCGACTGCCTTGTTGCCGGTTTGCCGTGCATTTGATCATTTTCTGCACCTGAGGCGGCTTCCTCTGGGAAATGACTTTATTTAAAGCTGAAGTTTAATCTGCTAATAGTTTTTCCTTCCCTGGTCCCTCCTTTCCACCCTCATCAACATGCTAAACTGTTTTTTTATTACATAACTCATTTTATACCTATTCATGCCATCACTGGGTCTCTCTGCCTCTCCATGCAATGCAGGCAGAACATGGCTGGAGGAAGGGTGGCCGGCACAGTGTTGCTTCCTGAAAGCATCACAGCACCCTGCCTCAGTACTGCTCCCACTAAAAGCACTCAGCCCGGATGCAAGCAGTGGGTTGGCTCTTGGGAGGAGTTATGCAATATCAAATGCCTTGATGGGTGGATGTCAGTCTGGAGGAGTGGTTATTCATAGGAAAACTGCATTAGCATGTAGACCACCCAAGCTAATGCCCACATGTAGTGCTACGCCTTTTATGATTGAAGAAGTGATATGTAATAAATAAAGGGGGTGGGCCAGGGACACTCGGGCTGGGGAGGAATGGGCCAGATGATGCTGACTTGCTGCAGCTTTTATGGCACACTGAGAAGCTCACACTGTTTAGTGAAATCGGAGTAAGCAATATCAATGCACAAGAGGAGCCGGTACAACTGTGCAAGACTGAAGGTAAGGCTGAGGGGTTCAGCTTTAAATAATAACATAATTACATTATTTCTTGTGTTGCATGTGAAGCCAATCAAAAAAAAAAATTAAATAAGCAGCAACAACAGCTACCTACCAGAAGCGGCCTTTTGTTTGGAACAGTTTGGTATTAACTAGAGGTGCACCGAAATAAAAATGTCAAAAACGAAACCGAAGTTGAAATAAAATGTCAGGCCCAAACCGAAAATGTTTTTTATTTTAACTTTTTTTTTTTAATTATTTTTATTTTTTTATAAACTTTTTGATGTTTATTTTTATTTTTTTATTAAATATTTTTATTTTTTACTTTACTTTTAGGGGCTTCGGGGAAATATTGGGGGTCTAAACAGACCCCTGATATTTCCCTTTAAAATAGAAAAAGAGATTGAGAACAAAGAGTCCCTGTTCTGCAGCCCCTGTTATAAATGAACAGGAATCCTCCATGAGTGTTCCTGTTCATTCATAACATGAGGACAGAGAATGTTTACTATATCCACAATGATGAATGAACAGGAGATGATGTAAATGACTTCCCATTCATTGATAATGGAGGATATAGTTAACATACCATGTCCTCAATTATGTACAAACACTCAGATCACTGATCGCTGAGTGTTTGTACCCGCTCTCCATCCTGACTCACTGTCACAGGAGGATGAGCGAGCGGAGCTCAGCCTGATGTGACAGCGCGGGCTGTCTCAGCCCACACACCGCTCTGCAGATCTATGACAGGAGGCTGAGCGGTGCGGGGAGGAGAGACGCCGGCCATTCACAGCACTTTAGGCATTATGATATATTGGTGCATCGCTAGTATTAACAGCACTGCTCCACATTCAAGTTCATCTTGCATCATATTGTCAAAAGCATGGAGGCTGGTACAGCTACAAGAGGGAAGGGGGTGTGTGGGGGGTCAAATCCATATTAGTGGCCATGGTATTGGATTGGCATGGTCAAGTGTCCATAGATCTTTTGGCCACACAGTGTACACTAACCACATCAGTCCTGAGACTTCCAAGATTTCTATATGCATTGGGAAGTACTAAACTACAGTGGCGACACTGTTACTGCAAATCTGTACCTGTCACCTGTATGATGATAACCATCCAATCAGCTATCTGTGAGACTAATTAACAAAAAGGAACTCGGAACATACTGTGCTATCGTGCAAGTTTCCTTTTTGGGTTCTCCTTGAAGGCCGTAGAAGTAAACCAAAAAGGAATAATTATGGATAACATGCTTTATTACAAAATTTAGAGCTAAACAAATCGATTTCATGTAAAAAAAAACCTGAAATAACCATTTAAAATTGAAGGCTATGTAAATGAGGACCACCTAGAACTTTTCCAGCTCCGTGGCACTTTCATCGCAACTACCTGCCCTAATTAATACTTGCACACAAAACACATCATTCCAGAGCTGGGAGGATGGAGGTTGTGTGAAAGGACACCCTTATTGGTGCTGGAAGAATAAAATGTTGGAGGAGGAGGGGAGGGGGATTTGCCATTCTGAGGAACAGAGAAGGAGCCAAGGAGGTGAAGTACTCACAGCTTGTTGAGACTGTCCAAGCCTATAAAGGCCCCATTGGTATCTTCTATTGTGCCCGAGATCTCGTTATGGTCCAGTTCCCTGGAGAGGAAACAAAAGACAACATACAATCACTTTCTCATTCCTGGCCCCTTCGTTTTATGTATAAGGAGGTGTGGGTGGGGATCACAAGAGGCGATTTCTGGGAAGTTCATGAATCCTTCAGCCTTGTCTACGTCCTTCTTTGGGGGCTTTCTTTATTATGACCGTATACACTATGTGCATTTTGCATATGATCAGACATAAGCACCCTGCTTTCAATGATCAGTATCTAAACCCAAGCACAAAAATGTAATATATTGTTGCTTACAAGCGCTTCAATGTAGTGGCTGTTAGTTTTCATGTTATACTTTATTTTCATGTGGTGATAAAGTCACTTTAAAACACCTTGTATGAAAAGTCTAAACACAGACCAAAATGTTTTAATGTTTATTATAGCTATTCACTATATATATATATATATATCTATATATATATCTATATAGATATATATATATATATAGCAATTAAAAAATGACATGCGTTCTTTAAACCACATCCAACACATTACGGGGGTATAAAACACTCTTCCTACAGCAGGGATTGTATATTTGAAGTACCGGTAGGAGAGAAGAATCAAAACTGCACACTCACCAGGATTGCCTATTTGTACCGTATTCATTAATATATACCAGTGTATATACACTAAGTGGCCAGATTATTATGACCACCTGACGTTTGTAGGCAAATTAGCTATAATTTTGTGCTGAAGTTGCTAGAGGGCCAGACCATTATAAATAGGGAAGCAGGTTGTTTACCATGACAGTAGAAGTGATTTTTTTCTGAAGATATGGGGAAACAACGCGATTTAACAGCCTTTGAACGTGGGATGATTGTTGGCACGGAGAAATGGAGCGAGTATCAGCAAAACAGCAGAATTCGTTAAATGTTCAAGAGCAGCTGTTGTTAAAGTGTTTAAAGACTGGACTGGGTCTGAACGCGCCAATTGTGGCCGTCAGCGACTAGTCAATGTTAGGGCAGAACGGAGAGTGGCAAGACTGGTACAACAGAAGGGCAACAGGGCATCAAATTGCTGACGGAGAGTGGCAAGACTGGTACAAGACAACAGAAGGGCAACAGTGCAGTGTCAGGTTCCTCGCATCACCTTTCAACATCTTGTGGAGTCATCTCATGGCCCAACGAAGTACTGATGGGGTGGTCATAATAATCTGGCCACTCAGTGTATGTGTCTTAATATGCTTTTAACTTGTTATAAGAAATGAAGGTTTTATATTTATACTTCACACCTGTAGCTGTACGTGTATTGTGTGGCACCTTGAAAAAAACACAGGCTCATTTGCAGCCAATCCTTGCTTCTCTTATTAATATATACCAGGACTGATGAGACAGTCTTTACATGTGCCCTTATGAGGCTTTTCATACATGCATCTTAAACTATGGGTCCCCAGAGTTTAAGTCAAGGGTTATCGTGTCTTTGTTGAGAGTGGCGTCACCAGAGCCACTAAGCACCATACAAAATTTATTTAAATGAACCCAGCACCTTTGATATACACGTACTGGCATTGAAAACCCGCCATTGTTTTTGCCATTGCCGCAGTGGAGAGCCACAACTGGAAGTGGGAAGAAATTACTCCAAAGTGAAGGTAAATCCCCTCTTAAACATCTGTCATCAGAAAACAGGTTTCCCTGTTGGAAAACTCTATTCATGTAACATTCTGGCTTTCCCATCACGTTCTGTGCCGGTGACAATGGCCACCAGGACAAATACAGAGGATGAATCTCCCCAGAAGGTACACACATGTAATTTATTGACCCTCAGCCTTAGTGTAACCCCTAAACCTAATTCTAAAGCTAAACCTTGACCTAACACTTAAACCCAACTCAGCTTCAACTCCTAAACATAATCCTTAACCTTGGACCTAATGCCCAACAATGCTCGCATGCAAACGCTGTATTATCACAGGAATACATAACGATAATGGATGCTTCTATCTTTTAAAAAAAAAAAAACTGTACATGACTGCAGAGGTCTAATTAAACAATCACAATGAAAATGTACTTCAGTGACGTTTTGGCCATTGACCACGTCCAAAACCTGCAACAGCCCCAAAAGACCCATTATAGATGAAATCACCATGTGTCACTACTAATAACTCCCATATTAAAGAAAATTGGCAATTTTCCCCAAAGTTTAGCCTCCACACACATCACAGCTCCAAGAGCTGTACCCCAAAAACTTCAGATCAGATTAATCCAGGCCCTTGTAAATCCTTCTCAGTGTAGTGATGGAATGCTATGCATCATGAAAACAGTCATTTCTATCCTAATTCCACAACGATACATTGGCACTCCTCCTAGCTCTGATGTGTAATTATTTCTTTGGACCCCGTCCATCCTGCCACTGGACATTTGAATCCATATTGTTGATGGGACAATAAGAGGCTACAGCCCCATCGTTCATTCTATTCAGGCCTGTCCCTCTCTCATGCCAATTTCCTATTCTTTCTGGGCGGCTGCATCTGAATAGCCGTAGCCCAGTTAATCATAGGACGGTTGGGTCTTCCAGCGTGACCTCTGTATGAATGGCCCTGTAATTCAGCAGTTTCACACCAAGTGAAGATCCTCAAACAATAGGCCCTAATTAAAGCAGGCTTGGGTCCCTTTCACCAGGTGCGTGGGCCTGTGTACTCCCCCACTTATTGAATTAGAGCTCTACCCCACTCTGCATTCCCCCCCGACCCCCCTGCTGGATGGAGCTCTGCCTGAGTCTTAAAGGACTATGGAACAGAATTTAGGAATTGGTTTGTGCAATGTTTTTGTATAACATTGTATAAGGAGAAGGGACCTAATGGACCTCAAAAGCTTGCACCTTCATTAGCTTCGGATAGCCAATAAAGTGTGGCACTCAAAACTCCAAACTTTCTGCATAAAGTTTCAGGAACTCATCAGAAATGAACACATCTAAAAGCTGACTCCAGTCAACATTAAAAATTAGAATACATCTCCAGCAAAGACTTGTTCCGGTTTTGGATAGTTAGTCTTTACTGATCTTTGTAGTCCCATTGGGGAGATGTCTGGTGTCACCAGGACAGGAAGTGAGAAAAAAAATATCACAGATTGCTTTGCACTACTTAAAGTATTTTTATTGCTAAGCTAAACCCTACCAGCTTTTTAGTGGTGTGTCCCCATTGGAAAATGTTCCTTACTTCCAGTCGGGGTGTCAGAAAGTAGACTGTTGGCAGCAATATAAATGACAGATGTTCTAATCCTTTCACCAAAAAAGTTTCTGTGGAAATAAAGAATACCATGCTGATGTGATTTATCCTGATCCCACCCAGTTTGGTTTTACCTTTCCCTAATGTGTTTTCAACTCTTCGTACTTGGATCACATAGAAACAGCCAACATGTTTCGGGGGAAAACACTACTCCCCCTTTATCAGGGTTAACTTTAGACTAATACAGGTAGCATTGGTTTTGATCTCTTGTCAGTTATATTCAGTCTGCCCTTCTGTTGTCTTGTACCAGTCTTGCCACTCCCTGTTCTGCCCTAATATTGACTAGTCGCTGACGGCCACAATTCACACGTTCAGACCCAGATTTTCAGCTGACCGTCCAGTCTTTAAACATTTAAGGAAAGGTAGAGGACAGTCACAAATTTGTAGAATGTCCTAATAAACATTAACTTAGAAGGAGGTTAAACAAAACCGGACTGAAGGAAGAATTTTCTTTCAAACCGAAGGTGATGTTGTGGGAAGTATAAAAAGTGACGTCTTGCCCACTAAGCAAACAGAAAAGACTAAAATAACTCGAAGAGCATAAAAAAAAAAAAAGCTGCAAAACAGCAAATAAACATTGACCATCTTTTTTTATGCGAGTATGTAGTACAAACATAGTAAATATGTGCTTTGCTTTACATATTCACTTCTCCTCCTCTGCAAGCCATAGCAGTCGAAGACACAAAAAGAGCCCAGTTGTCGGTTTTAGTAAATCTGGTGATTAGGATTTTCAACAGTGACAGAAAATTGTTACTGTGGGGATCGTAACAGTTCTGCCGCTGGAAGCTACAAAAACCATTTTAAGTCAGAGTTCTTCTCTTCATCAAATCTTTTCAGAATGCTGAGAGATCCTGGATGAAATACAGGCACCAACAGCTGGCACTAAGAGACCGTTCCGCCGTGCCAAATGCTGAGGATGGAGAAATCCCAAGAGAGGCCAGGACTCTCTGTTGGTGTGAAAATCAGAATAGGAGCAGGAAGTCCAGAAATTGTTCTCACCGTTCATTATAACAAAACCGGAAAGAATTGAAGAATTTTACACTCCCGGGAATGTGTCTGCTTGCTCAGCTGTACCTGTATTATATTGTATGGTAACTAGTACGCCAGGTGATGCAATATACACTTACTAAAGCCTGTTTATACAAAGTGGAGGAGAGAGAAATATCTGAGCTGTTCAGCCAATTAGAACCCAGCTGTCATTTTCACAGCGAGACTGAAAACAAATGCTGAAATGTGACTGGTCATTACAGGCAGCACCACAGGGAAAACTTCTCTACCCTACTTTCCAAAATCACTTTAATGTAAGACCCTGATCATTTACAAAGACTCTCCTTCCTTTTCTTACGCATCCTGACACAGTCCCACAGTGCATTCGTTCACTGTCAAGAGTGCACAGACTTGGGGACAGTTAATAGGCAAGCTGTGCTATAATATAAAAAGGGAAATGGTGTTCACGTGATTTTTACTTTTGTTTATATATTACAGACGTTTATACAGCATTGGCAATGTATGCAGCACTTTTTTACATACTATTCAGGGCCACTTCACACCAATTGCAGTGCATTCCACAGCAGTAGCTGCTGAAACGCACAGCAATCGCACACTAAACTCCCCCCTTCATTATCGGGCGGGAGGGGGCTTGGCGGTGCATTGAAGTCAATAGCACTGCAGCCACAACCCCACCCGCAATGCGATGGGACACGTGGCAAAACATTGCATGCTTCCAGGCCATTTCGAATGCGAAAAGATAAGAGAATGCAGCACTTTTTTTGCATTCACACTGGACCGGAACGCAGGCAATGTTTTGCCAAGCGCCCGATCGCACTGCCGGCGGAGGGTGTGGCTGCGGTGCCATTGACTTCAATGCACACGCCCCCTCCCACCACAGAACGAAGGAGGGAGTTTAGTGTGTGATTGCTGTGCCTTCCAGCAGCTACCGCTCTGGAACGCACCGCAATTGGTGTGAAGTGGCCCTCATTCATATTAGCGCTTGCCCTCAAGGAGCTTGCAATCTAAGGTCCCTATTACTCACACATAGGAGAACCAAATAATCTGTCAGTATAGTATATCTTAGGCGTGTGGGAGGAAGCACAGGGAGAGCATGCAAACTCCATGCAGATAGTGTCCTAAAAAGCATTTAGACCACAGTGCTGCAAGGTGGAAGTGCTCACCACTGAGCCACAGTGATGCCTTGTAAAAGCAGAGACAGAAAACATAATAGCCCATTGATATACTCACAATATCCGCAGCTTCTGCAACCCTTTAAACGCACCCTCAGCAATGAGATTGATGGAGTTATGGCCGAGACGCAGGACGGTCAGAGAACCCAGATCGGCCAGGCTCCCTTCATCCAATCGTGTGAGGTTATTGTGAGACAGGACGCTGCAGAGACAAAGACCAAACAATGTGTTAACTCAATGGTCAGCAGATTAAATGGACAACAGAGACAACTGACTGTGACTTGACCTTTCTCTATATGTCCTATATCAGGGAATGGAGGAATCTGTAGCAGTGACTGTTGGACTCTTTTCCGGCTCGTGGTCACACACTAAATTACAACACAAGACTTTTGTCTTCAACTCTTTGCTGCAACAAAACAGGGCGAATGCGAGAAGCCACACACCACATGGAATGAGAAATGAGGCCTGCAGTGCATGCTCCATAATCTGATGAGATAGAGGGAACATATTTGGAGGGCCCTTGGGGGGAAAAAAGAGAGTGAGCATCACCAGAGTAGCGTTGGCCACTGTTCGGACTATGGCACACTAGTGATCCTGGCGCTGCTGGCAACTTGAGTGTCTACGTCGCTGCTCCCTCACTGGTCAAAATGCAGCAGAATCCTTTTCCCATGTTACCTTAAGGAGCGTTAAGTAGGGCACATAGGATACGGTTCCTGCTGTCGGCACGCTTCCACCCAACATCAGCAGGAGCAGCAGGTTGGTGAATCAGGCAATCAGCTGCTAGCTCCATTCCCGTATTTTGAGAACTGCTGGTGGCCGCAGTCAGAATACAATGCAAACAGTGGGGGATTCATCCATGAACTATTTTTTTTTCGTTCAACCTGCGGGTTGATCAAAAAAAAAAACTAGACACGTGCATACCCGACTTAATTAGCCCTTTTGGTCCTTATCTTGAGACTGCAGAATAATTACGGTGTTATGTTGTAGGGATAGGAGAGTGGATGGGTTTGAGTACTTTAGCAAAAGACATCTAGGCATGGCTGACACCACTCGGACCACTAAAATGCTGTGCACTGTCGGTCGACAATAGGAAATTAGAAGCCTCAATGTACATGGTGCGTACAAAACCTAAGAGGATAAAGCATGTAGTCTTTTTAGAGGGGGCCCAATCTCTACCATCAATTACAGCTCCTAATGGCGGTAGCTCTCTGTCGGTTTTTTTTCTCCGCCGCGTTAAAGTGATGGGAAATAAAAGCAGAAAAACGATCGTCTGTTTCTGCTGGTGGCAGATGTTCCGCCTGCGTTGTATCAAAGTGAACTTTTTCTTGTTTTTATGGAATCTTGGGTTACTTTCTCAGAAATCCGTTTATCTCTTGGCTAAATTCTTTAATAGTAAAGCGTAGACGTTATTTTGGCCGCGCGCCAGTATGCGAGTTAGCTCACATCATTAATCTTGGCTGAATATATGTGTATAGAAGTTAAAAATAAAAAGAAAGAAAAAAAAAAATATATATATTCCCCCCCCCCCTTTTAGAGGGGGAAATATATATATATGGAGCTGTAATTGATGGTAGATGGTAGAATTGATATATATATATATTAGGAGCTGTAATTGATGGTAGAGATTGGGCCGCGTCGTTGTAAACCGTGTCGAGCATGGTGTGCGTTTTCCCGAGTCAGTAAATTATTTTGTACGGCGAGCCGTTTTGCTAGAAGTTACACCACCCTTCACATCCATGCAGGACGGAGGATAAATATTATTTTGTGGTTTACCTAAACGACCCTCTGACCGTGTAACGTTAACAGAGCGGGGAAGTATTAACGGGAAACGGTCGTTAAATACACAATGCTGCTGTATGAGACTGGATTAAGAGAAATATTTTATGTGCATTAGTACTCAAGGTGGGGGTGGGGGGGATTAGTGCGCTGACCCCCCTGTGTAACCGGACCCTTTAAAAGCATCGCTATGTATTTCAGTCTTTCTTCAGGTTTATCTTTTAAAAGGAATTTATATTGTTTTTAGGATTTGATAGATAAAATAAATATGAATGTGGCAGGTTAATGAGATAAATCTGTTAAAGAAAAAAAAGTTATTTCAGTAATAATTTGCAAAGGGTTTGAGTGACGCGGTGGGCTTCCTTGCTGTGTGAACCTGCTGCGGTTAGACATGCTAGCCAAAAGCTTAAAGTTGATAAAAAACCCCGTCTGGGGCTTTTAGTTTGCCATTTCCCCCATATAATACTGTTTTAACCTATTTTGCATCTCGGTGCTGCTGATCATCTCTGGCCCCTTTCAGTCACTTCCTGTCTACATGCATTCACTCCGTCAGCTGCACAGCATTGCTCTGGACTGGTTTCCTGATAGTGACAATGGTGGAGCATGCCTGTGCAATGTGTCGGCATGGCTGCCTGCAGGCTACACAGGAGGAGTGTTCAGTTCCTTAGCGCCGAGTAGCTGTTCTGCAGCACTTCAGTTCGCTGCAGCAGCTCCACTGAACGCTTTGGCTGCACAGTGCTAAGCAAAATGGCGGAAGATAATATTTTTGACTAACAAATACAATTTTCCAATGATTATTTGGTGTGCTCATCCACCAAAACGTTAAATGAAGTTTAAAAACACCTAATTGATTCCCTCCATCGGGGTTCAGGAAATTTTCTCCAGCGCTGCCAGGTGTGCCCACAGTTAAAATGGCCGCTGCTGCTCTGTCCATACCTTCTCCGTCACACTCAGTGCTCTACGCACACTCATTTCCGCTGCTAGTGCAGAGTTAGCAGTGCTGAGCGCTGACTTGCAGCACAGCGTTCAGCAGTGGTTTGCTAACTCTGCACTCGCAGCGGCTGAGCAACTGATCACGGCTCAGGGATGCATGTCAAAAGGGTGAAAACACAGAAGCACAACTGGGAAACAGGAACAGAGTGTTGTCACCCAATAACAGGAAGTGTTAAATAAATACAACTTTCACTGCAGGATCACCTGGCATTATTTTATTTAACGCTGCCCATTTCAAAAGACTAAAAACAAAATTTGAAGTGACATGAACATATTAACCAGTTGACATCCGCGGTGTTAAACCCCCTTCCCATCCAGGCCATTTTTCAGTATTCAGCGCTAATGAGATTTAAAGGGTAACTCCTGCTTATGTGATTGGCTGACTGATTTTCCCAGAAGTCAGCAGAAGTAAGATACAAGTATAATTTCTGGCATCCCTGGCAATAAGAATTAAATTTTTGGGTTCAATTGCTACTAAAGGGATGCAGACACTGCACTTTTCCTCATTAGACCACAGAAAATCCACTAGTCGATTATAATGGAACCAGACTCTCCCATTCAGGGACCAGTGTGGAAAGGACATGCTGCAGCAAACAGCTTTTTCTACAGAACAGAAACAGGTGGGAAAAAGTTTAATAAAATTCTTGCAATGTACACAGATCACCGAGAGGGTATTTATTTCTCAACAAAAGTGAAATTGCTCTTTAAAAAGGAGAACTATGAGGCGAGTGGATTTCCACTCATCCTCATAGTTAGAGCCGATGTGTGACATTGAAACTGTCACATGTCGGCTCTATAGCTTAGGAAGTGAGTGAACACATACCGTCGCTCGCTGACTTCCCGACCGTCTCCCTGCGTTGAGCGATAACTGTAGTCACCGCTACCCGCAGGGATTCTCCCTCCCCTCTCCGATCCTCCAGCGCTGAATGGAGGGATGAAAAGGGGAGGGGGCAGGCACATCTGGCTCTGCCTCTAGATAGGCAGAACCCGTTGTCAATCAGCCAGCTGGGTGGATCTCGACAGTATTGTCAGGATACGTCCCGGCTGCGGCACTCTCAGCATATAGCAGGCAAAAGCTTGCTATATACTGAGCTTTGGGTCACAGGAGGACGTTAGTACATGTCCTCCCATGGTCCTAAAGAGAACTATGGGATAAAAAGGTTACCCCATACTTCTCTTTTAATGGTTGGTTTTAAGCTCTAAACTGAAGCTGTATTTTTAAGCATCTAAAAGTCATACGTTTATCCAAGGACAGACACTGCAAGATGCCTGCTTTTATCTTTATAAGCCAGAAAACCCTCCTCTATGTACCTCTCTGATTTAGTTTCACTGTTATTGGGTCATGGCTTCAATGAATGTGTTTCAAGCTTCTGATTGGCATTAATTGCAAAGTTCTAGGAGGCATCTATTGACTGAAGCAGAAAATTCAGCCATCTGTAGTAGAGATCAAAGGCAAAGTTTGATAACTACTGCACTCCCCTTACGTAGCATGACAATGACGGGCTGTGCTCCGTTTCAGCTAAGCTACTGATCACGGGCCTAAACTCTCCATAAATTCCTTCGGAGATCACAGAAATGCCTCATCATCTGTCTTCTCGCTGCTTCTTCATAGGGATATAGAGTGAATGAGTCAACGGCAATGGTAACTGAACTGGGGCAGCAGACGGTGCTAAAAGGGTAAGGACACGGACTCTCCCCAAAATGGATTAAAGTTAAAGTTCCCCTTTAACGCAGGTAGTACTCACAGCTCTTGAAGTTTCTGGCAGAAGCTCCATCCACCTGAGCTGATCTTGGAGATGGAGTTGTTGCTGAGGTAAAGCTGCTGCAGGGACCGCAGTCCATACAGAGAGCCGCTGTTTACTTCTGTCAAGCTGTTATATTCCAGATGTCTGCAGAGACAGGCAGCAGGGAGGGAGGAAGAAAGACGGATCTATAGGTTAAAATGTGGCCTTCAGCTGCAGTACATACATCCATCATACAAATATTCCCTGCAGATGAAAACAACAGTGTCACTGTTTACCTAACATTTACTCAGCTGGGGATGTTCAGCTAAAGGAATAGAGACCCGTACCTTGACCTGTGCGATGCACGCAAACAGAGCAACACTTGCCCACAATGCAACTGGAAGAGATCAAAATGGCAAAACAGGAGATTGAAATTGTAAAGTGGACCTAAACCAAAGTTAGCATCCCCGTTCTGCAACTTCTAAAAACAAACAAACAAATTCTCTAGTACCTGTCCTGCCAAAAAAAAACACTGCCTGGGGATCCCTCCCTGAGTCACAGGACTAGATTCTTAGGCACTGGTCGAATGATCTCAGCTGAGAGAAAAATAAAGCTCATCTCTTGGAATGATCTTAAAACGTACATCGGTCCAGCCTGGTTACATCTAATTCTTCATCTCTCACATCCAGAGGGCGGCTGTGGATGCCATAAATACACTGCAGTAACCTGTGCCATGTACAGTCAGCACTGGTCTCCTCCAGGCGGTAAGAAAAAAAAGTTCAAACTGAACTCCAGAAATGAACATAAAATGTACATTGGTCCAGCCTTGTTGCATCTATGTCTTCATATCTAACATCAAGAGGGCGGCTGGGGATGCAGAAATTCACTGTAGTAGCCTACGCTACGTAGAGTCAGCGCTGGTCTCTTCTGGGTGCTAAGTGGAAAAGTTCAAACTGAAGGAGTTAATTTAAAACGTACACTAGTTCGGCTTGGTTACATCTAATCCCTCTCTCACACCTGGAGGGTGGCTGGGGATGCAGAAAATCACTGTAGTAGCCTGCGCTACAAACAGTTAGCGTTGATCTCTTCCGGGTGCTAAGAGGAAAAGTTCATGCTGAACATTGCCCCTGCTTGGTTACATCTAAATGTTCATCTCTCACATCCGCAATGTAGCTGGGGATGCAGAAATACACAGCAGTAGCCTGCGCCATGTACATTTAGCGCTGGTCTCTTCCGGGCGCTGCTTGAGTGGCTTGCCGTCTGTATACTGAACACAGTGGGTTGCTCACTTGAAACCTCCGCCTTTCAGAGAATGTCTTGTATTTTCTCTTTAATGGATAAAAGGTGTTCTCTGATTGAAAGCGGCAGAGGGAAGGGGCAGATGATGTCACAAACTCTGCCCAATCCAATTAAATAATGCCTTGTATATGGGTTCAGTCTACAACATGGCTGCTTCTTTGCATCGAATATAAAAGCAATATAAATCTGCTACAAGTAAACAAATATTTACTGTGACCTGTTTATTGCAGATTACAGGAATACAGATATTTACATATCGATACTTACAAGACCTGCATCCTCGCCAGGCCCCAGAAGGCTCCATCCGTCAGTTTACTGATGTTGTTCCGCTGCAACTTTAAAACCTCCAAGTTGTCCAAGCCCTGGAACGTGAGCCCCTCAATTAGCCGAATCCGATTTCGATTCAGCTCCCTACAAAACAGAGAGATGTCACGGAACGTTGTTACACTGTAACCTGTTGGCTGCTAGTCAGCCCGCGCTGTGCAACAGACACAAGAGGCCACAAAGCTCGGGATAAAGGATAACAGATCCTATCGCTCTCTCCCCCCATCTACACCTCCACAGGGACTTGAAGACCTGCTAGGATGAGAGACCTTACAGAGAAGCACCAGAGAGATCTGAAGGCTTGTATTGTTCCCCGGCCCGGCCTGTTTAAACTTAACGAAAACCGATACTTAGCTAGAAAAGGAACTCCGGCTGTACTGCTCTCAGACTAATAAAAAGTCCCACATTTTCTAGCCCAATATCACTAATTATCATTATTAATTAACCTCATCACGTACCTTACAATGTGGCTGTACAATCTCCTTTAGATCTACAACTATGCAGTGCAAAGGCCTGCCTGGCTGGATACAAATTGATTGGGTAGATTAGGTAGGTCCTTGTATTACATACTTTTGGTCAATCTAAATTTGATTGTACAGAGACTGTATAGTCAAATGGTGTATGGTGACCCTTAGAGACAATCTGTAAAATATTGACAAGAACTTTTCATGGGGTGTTTTTGGCCCCACAGACTTTAAAGAAAGCTCCAGAAAAACCACACGCAATGCATGTTTTTGCGAGATTTCGCGCCCAACAACCATTTCCGGTTTCTAGTAACCAGCTTTCCATTGACTAAAACAAAAATTCTCAAGCCTGAACAGTATGCAAAAAAAAGCTTCAAAATTGCCTGAAAATGCTCAGGTGTGAAGTTGCAAATTGCCTAAAATAAAAACAGCAGAAAAAAAAGATTAAAATTAAGTAATTTTCAGATAACTACGCCCGTTTAAAAGTGGCCTACAACACCTGCATTTGTTTAAACAGTGGTTTAAATCCTTGGTTCTCAACTTGTGGGTCACAACCTCATATTCGGTGGGTCACCACATGCCTTCCACTTTTCTAGGTGAGAGGCTCCTCAGCCTCCCCCTGGCGCACCATCGTCAGTTCTCACGCCGAGCAGCCATTCAAAGTATGCTGCCCGGCCCTCGTGTCAGCTTGCAGTGGGGTGGGCTGAAAGTATGGCCATAAGGGAGCTCCATCCATACATGCATTGCTTACAGCTTCCACATGTGTCTTGTACAGGTGCCTGGACTGGAGTGACATCACATTTTGGCTCCCTACACCCACTCAAGGCACGGAAGGGAGCTGTACAAGCAATGCAAATATGGATGGAGCTCCATCACAGCACAGCAGCACATGCTGGACCCCAGGCTGGGGATCCACTACAGTTCTCGTTAGGTAGGGAGACTGGGTGGATCTTAAAAAAATATATAATTTAAAGACAAATGTGGGTCCTGAGGTTACACTGGTTGAGAACCACTGGTTTAAATCGCTTGCACCTGTTTAAAAAGTGGTCTACATCACATAATTAGGCATCAGATCACCGTGTTGATTTTGCCACATCCAAGTGCATCACACTTGCGACAAATGTGTGAAAACAAGCAGACATTCGCAAAACTGTGAATGGTTCCCATGGTAGGGCGTTTAGAAGGAGCGAAACTGCCTTCATAAACTATTAAAAAAAAATTAAACTATAGCATTGCAGCCATTGGCTTTCATAAGTTCTTTATAGCTAAAACTTCATGACCGAGACATAAAAAGCGACCGATACCTTGTAACATTTCCCGTTAACACTCGCATGTGTGGTCTGAAAGATGATCCCACCTTTAGATTTCAACCGAGGGGTCTGATTAAACTACCGATCATCGTCTGCGAGGCTATTTAACGCCTACGGCCCCCGTACGCCTAAAAGTCTAACTACTTCTCACTTTATAGGGTAAAGTCGGCCTCTAATCTCTAAACAGACCATTTATCTGAGGGGATCCAATATAGGTTTTATGAGGTGTTGTTTTTGGATTAATGAATCCAGGGCATTGGTGGAACTGGCAGAGCAGGCCTGCTAATCCCAGGAGGTGCTGTATCTGCTCGGGAGAGACTTGCATTGAGCTTTAATTAAGTGCTCCCAACCCAACCAAC